AGGGGAGAGAATGGAAGGGAAGGAAGGCTGACAGAGAGACAGGAAGGCAGGCAGGCAGGCAAGGAAGGAAGGAAGGGAGGGAAGGGAGGGGAGAGAATGGAAGGGAAGGAAGGCTGACAGAGAGACAGGAAGGCAGGCAGGCAAGGAAGGAAGGAAGGAAGGAAGGGAAGGGAGGGGAGAGAATGGAAGGGAAGGAAGGCTGACAGACAGACAGGAAGGCAGGCAGGCAGGCAAGGAAGGAAGGAAGGGAGGGAAGGGAGGGGAGAGAATGGAAGGGAAGGAAGGCTGACAGAGAGACAGGAAGGCAGGCAGGCAGGCAAGGAAGGAAGGAAGGGAGGGAAGGGAGGGGAGAGAATGGAAGGGAAGGAAGGCTGACAGAGAGACAGGAAGGCAGGCAGGCAAGGAAGGAAGGAAGGAAGGGAGGGAAGCGAGGGGAGAGAATGGAAGGGAAGGAAGGCTGACAGACAGACAGGAAGGCAGGCAGGCAGGCAAGGAAGGAAGGGAGGGAAGGGAGGGGAGAGAATGGAAGGGAAGGAAGGCTGACAGACAGACAGGAAGGCAGGCAGGCAGGCAAGGAAGGAAGGAAGGAAGGGAAGGGAGGGGAGAGAATGGAAGGGAAGGAAGGCTGACAGACAGACAGGAAGGCAGGCAGGCAGGCAGGCAAGGAAGGAAGGGAAAGGAAGGGAGGGGAGGGGAGAGAAGGGAAGGAAGGAAGGAAGTTAACGAGGAAGGGAATGAAGGAGAAAGAAAACCAGGAAAGCAGGCAGGCAGGCAGGAAAGCAGAAAAGGCAGGCAGGCAAGGAGGGGAGGGAAGGAAGGAAAAGAACGTAGGAAGGACTTCTCTTGAGATGGTATGAAGAACTTCTATTGGAATTTTTCCAGACTAGATCAGATTCTCCTTATTGCGTCCAAGTCCATGTTTCTCAACCTTGGAAGCTTTAATTTGCATGGACTTCAACTTTCAGAATTCCCCAACCAGCCAGCCAGATCAGAGTTTGGTTTGTATCTAAATGTGGGTCATCATCTTCTGGACCTTCACAAACCCCTAGAAGGAAACACTGTGGTTGTCCCGAGGGCCTCTTCCTGCCATATCTTCCTTCATAATTTGAATTTGTATAACCTTTGCCTTTTCAATTCAAATTAAACGTTATTGATGAGATCAGAATGAAGTTGATGGGCCAGCTGAGTTTTCTTGATTGCTCCCCTCCCAAACAGATGTTCGTCCGAGCCCAATTTAACTACGACCCGCAGAAGGACAACCTCATCCCTTGCAAAGAAGCAGGTTTGAAATTCCAAACCGGAGATGTAATCGAGATTATCAATAAAGATGATAGCAATTGGTGGCAAGGCCGGATAGAAGGTTCTTCCAATGGCTCGGCAGGGCTTATTCCATCTCTGGAGCTCCAAGAATGGTAGGTCCTACTTGCTGGTTTATTATTTATTATGCCTACAAGCAGGGGTGTGGGATTCAGCCGGTTTTGGACAAGTTTGGGCAAACTGGATGCTAATTCTGCATCTGGTTCGTTGAGCCGGTTGTTGGAAGGACTGGCTGGCTCCACCTACCCCACCACTCTCCACGCAGCCCGTTAATCATAACGAACAAGTACAGGGCCTGTGCAGAAGATCTGGGAGGGTAAAAAGGGGCCCTTCCAGAAGCCCGGAAACGGGCCCATTTCTAGCTTCCGGAGGGCTTCTGGAGCCTGGGGGAGGCCGTTTCCGCCCTCTAGGGGGCATGGGGAATACACACACACACACCCGCCATGGTGCAGCATGCTGAGTAGGCCACGCCCACCATGGCCATGCCCCACCTCCCCAGCAACCAAGCAGAGAACCGGATGCTAACATTTTTGAATCCTACCACTGCCTTCAAGTTAGTCTGATTTTTGGTGACTGCCTGGGCTAGTCTATGCAGTTTCCTCGGCAAGGTTTTTCAGAAGTGTTTTGCCATTGCCTGCTTCCTAGGTTTGAGAGAGAAGGACCGGCCATAGATCACTAGCTAGATTTGTGCCTGAGTTGGGTTTAGAACTCATGGTCTCTTGGTTTCTAGCGTGGTGCTTTAACTACTCTCCCAATTATTAGCTCCCTAATTATTAGTCTTATAAGCTTTCTGCAAACTAATCCCGCCAGAGAAGTGGAGGACGGGCTGACCAGCATGGCTGAAACTGACTTTGAATTCTGTCAATCCCCCCCCCCCCCAAAAAAAAACCCTTGCTTGGCATCACTCTTATGGGAGCATTCACCCCATTATCCACAGTAGTAATTGGATTTAATTCTTGAAGGTCTTTTCTAAAAGGCTTTTACATGTGAAGTGAGAATAGGGCAGTTGAAGACATATTAAATGATGTCGCATATTTAAGAGAGCGAGATCAAGAGTGGCGCGTTGGCCTAGAGGTGGTGCTCTCGCCTCATAATCAGGAGGCTGTGAGTTTGATCCTAGGTAGAGGCAGGTATTTCTCTCTCTGGGCACAGTGAGAATTTATCTGCTGAACAAAAGGAAAGGCATCTGGCCAGTAAACTCTGCTAGTTCCATTCATTCAGTTGCCCAGTTGTCCCCACAAGGGATTATGGGGTGGTTGAATGATAATGATGAAGAGAATCACATTTTGGTGGCCGAACAGGAGAAAGTTCATCGGTCTCTGCTAGCTATCTGCTGAAGCTTGATAGATGAAGATACCTAGGGCCACCTCAGGCTGAACCCCAGTTCTGGAGCTCCCCCTTTTGTACTTGATATACCCAACTTAGTCCTTATTTGTCTTGTGGCCCACCGGCAGCCAGCAAAACTGGCAGCAGAATCAGACCTTGAGGAGGTTGGGGAGGAACATGGGCCAGTCCTGGAGTCTGGGGAAGGCTCCGATGACTGCTCTGCATTGGAGACAGAGAGGGAGCTAAACAGCAGTGAGGCAGAAGAACAGCTGGAGCCTGTTCCCAGTGTGTGCATGCACAGAGCTTCCAGAAGACAAGAACAACTAAGAAAGTAGGGTCGACTTAAGAGTAAAGCCACACCTTGGAGGAGATTGGCCCCTCCCAGAGGAAACAAAAGGGGAACGAACGGGGGGGGGGAGGGCTTTTGCAGGAAACAATTTGTTCATTCAGTGATGTCAAGAATGGAAAGTTGGTGATGATAAGAGACTCTGTGTCAAGTGTTGCCTTGCCCTGTGTTTGGAAACTAGTTATCTGGCAGCGCTGTAAATGAGATAAGGTGCGTGTGGATAAACATTCATCTGAAAGACTGTTTGCTAAGCCTTGCGGACTGTGAATGAAAGGGATTCAGAGTCGTGTAAATAAAAGAGGGTTTTGTGGAGACCAAGACTTTGCTTCTTGCTTTCTAAGGAAGGCTGGATCAGAACAATTTGGTGCCCTGCTAGCAGCAGAGTTCAATCCCTTGATAAAACCCACAGAAAGCCACGTCCTCCCTCTTTCCACGCCCTTTGAGAATGAGAGATGGGATGAGGTTAGTAGCCCATTCGTTCCGAAGATTGACTGCTGTCACTGAATCCTTCCTGCAGGCGTGTTGCCAGCACAACCCAAGAGAATCAATCCGAAGGCCAGAGCTGCCTTTCCTTTGGGAAGAAGAAGAAATGCAAAGACAAATATCTGGCAAAGCACAGCTCAAGTAAGTCACCAACTTTCGGTCTTCTGATGGGTCCTGCTCAACATCAGGCCTTAATGTACTTTGCATTTGTATTTATTAGTTTGTCAAACATGGACAAGATAGCAGGTATAAATAATAAACATGGATATAAATCAGGGGTGGGTTTCTCGCCCCGTTCCAACCGGTTCGATT